GGCTGATTGGTCGTCGCTCAGGCTGTCTCTGCCTCCGCCGCACCCGCCCGGGCTCCTGGCGACCTTCGCCGTCTTGTGGGAGCCTTCGCCGGGCACAGCCACCATGGCGAAGGCATTTGCTTGTTTTTCCCTGCAATGCACTCATGCATCTTGTTAGCGTTAGTTTCCCTTACTTGTCACGAGCCCTAGCCTCCGCTGCTTGTAACCATGTCCCAACATATTATAATAGTTCAAAATTGTTAGCCAAATTATTAGTCAAAGATTATAAAGTTTGACCCTTGAACTATATGAAATGTCTTATAAACCAATTTAAATCCAGTCGGTCATGTGAACATGAGCCACCTCTCTCTAATGTAACCCCTCACTTTAATAGACCGTTTTGAGTTCAGTCGGTCATGTGAACCTTCTTGTTGTTTCCTAGAGTACCAGACACAATCTTTATTCTCTGTTTGGAAGGCTTTGGACTATCATTACTCCTCTATTACAACTACCGTGGACCGATGATTATATATTCGAGTAAACCATGTCAGCGTAGTAGTATACTATTTAATTTCAGTATTGTACTACGTATCCATCGATGTTATAGATAAATATACGAAGTACTAGTAGCAAATTACATCGGTTAGCATTATGTAAACTTTCGGCCACCTCATCCATCTCCGGGACATGGCACATGTGCTGCTGTTTTTTTTTTCTTGTATAGCTGTAAGGGAGCGCTGAACATGTACCGAGTACTAATCACGACTGCCTTATTTTAATTGGACGGGGTGCCTCTGTTTTATATCTAATTTCCAATTTCGCACTAAACTAGCCTCCTGAATGCTGCCAGGAAGTAGTAAACGGCACACTAATCCAGGTACAGAGTTTTAGCCAGTAAGAGCAAGTACAATAAGTCTGTTAGCTTGGCTTATAGCTTAAACAACTTAGCAAAACCCAATGCGTATGAGAGAGAGAATTTTGAAGAGAAAGTGTGTTTGTCGCAAGTTTAGCTGTCGATCGCTTGCACGGTTTCCACAGTTTTCAGACAGGACTGTTGTCACCTCCACCCTGCATTTTTCTCTTGACTATATACAATAAAAAATGATGTTGAAACATCATTTCTCCCTCCTCCCCGTCAATGGCGGTGTACACATTGTCTATAGGTCTAGTCTCCAAATATCATGGCTTCACTGTAATTCTAGTTTATTGGTCCTGCTCTTAGTACTATTACTGCTGGCAGGGCTAACCGCATCGAGAATCCTGGCAAACAAACAGCACCCCGAGGTGCTGCAGCATTGAAAGAGACTACCAACCCAGGCGGTCGGAGGGGCTCCTCGGCAGAGAGGAGCATGCGGTGGGAGGCGGCATGCCAGAGAGGAGCCCGCTGTGGAGATGTGAAGGGGAGGGAGGCAGCAGCGGGAGGTGTCCGCCAGTGGGGAGAAGCTGGCTGCGTGAGGTGCCTGCCAATAGGGAGGAGGCCGTCGGGGGAGGGTGTGTGGCCTAGGAGAGCTCTAGTGAGTACGTGATGTGCCAGGGAATTGCTGGGGAGGAGCCGCGGTAGGGGTGTCGCCGGGGAAGGAGCCGCCAGTGTGAGCCGAGGTAGGGGCGTCGGTAGGGGTGTCGCCGGGGAAGGAGCCGCCAGTGTGAGCCGAGGTAGGGGCGTCACCGGTGAAGGAGCCCCCGGTGTCTTCCTGCTCGATGGCACACAGATAAGGAAAGGAAGGAGCTGGAGATAGGGCGTCACCAGGCTGTGTGGGTTGCTCGTGGGCAGAGAAGCCGTGAGTGCGAACGAAGTGGGGGGGGCAAAGAAATTAACTGCCACAAACGATGATTTGAAGGCTTAGTTTAGACCTCCTAGGAATGACGGGTGGGATGGGAATTTCTGGGCCCTCTCAAATTTGAGGACTCTAGTAGGGGCGTTGCTGGAGTGCAGTTTTTGACATTAAACCTAGACTTTGTCACATATATAGATCAGGGGTACCCACACTGTCCGTATATGTGGCCATGTCCAAGCTCTCGGCCCAGCAGTCGTCACGGAAGAGGCCCGCGAAGGGCTAAGGCGATCGACCAACGTGGAAATCAAGGCAAGCCAAAGATATCTAGACTTGGATCATTCTGTCGCGCATTCCATGTAACAAACTAGGAATCCAATCTGTTAGTCTGATTGCCCTCATTGTAACCCTACCCCCTCTACCTACATAAAGGAGGGTTAGGACCTCGGGCTCAGGATCGGATCTCCATCACCCCAATCTACGATGCAGCTAGGAGCAACCGCTCCTGTAATTGAGCATACGAATACAAGAAGAGCAGCAACACCAATTGGAGTAGAGTTTAGCGCGCCACTGTGCCCCGAACCAGTATAAATCCTTGTGTCTCGTGTGCTACCATCTGATTCCGTCTTCACGATCACATTGTTAGACATTGCCAGAGCTAAATCATCCAACAGACTTATAAGGTAAACATCGATGGGCTAAACAATTATTTAGCATCTGTGTGGATCGTACAGTAGCGAACAAACAAAATCTGACGAAACCATCCACCAACCCCCACGGAATGGCATCAAATTCAACTAGACCCAACCTTTTTTTTATAACAACGAAATATATGCTGGAGGCTTAACGCGGACCTGGATTCAGATAAAGTAGTTTCAGATGACTCAAAGCAATCCAGGCCTTGGAGGATGGAGGAGCTCCTCGAGGTCACAGGCTGGCAGCAACTGCTGCTCACGGATGGTCGGTCGAAGGTGGCGTTCTCCAAGCCCTCGACGACAGAGTAGCAGGCCTAGAGGGAGAGAGGGATAGAGCCGGGATTTGTTAAGTAGCCTCATGACGAGACGGGCTTCACCATTGTATCATCCACGCAGCCGTGACTTCTACGGGATTGTTAAGTAGCCTCCCTCGACGACTACTACTGCCTTTATAAAAAAAAAAGTCAGGAATAAAGCATTCGGGCATGGGGCCGGCATCATCCAAGCAACCGTGACTTGTACGGCAATATAGAAGTATAAGCTTATACATTATTAAAAGTGCACGAAACAATATAATATCTCACTACATGGAAATTGAGCCGAAATCACTGGTATATATATGGCAAAAGGATTTATCGATCGATTCAAAGATCTGAGTAGCCACGTCATATCACAACCTTGTGCTCTCTTATTCATCAGCGAGTGTCGCAGCTCAGATGACTGTGTTCAGTCGTCGCATTCTTTGGTGCAGAAGCGAAAGACATGAAGATGAGGAAGCCACAGTTCCCCCTGGTGGCGCCCACGCCGATGGAGTGCTTGTTGCATGCTTTGCTGCTACACAGGAAGCAGCATCCGGTTTGTATCGCTTAGCCACTAGTCCCACGCCTCCTTGTTTCCACAGCCTGCAAAAGAAAGCAAAAAGGTCAAAGAACTGCCCTAATACTCTTCTTTCTAAAAAGGTGCACAGATCTCAAAGCAGCTTATCTGATTAATTATTTTTTCTTAATTATTTTCCTCGGGGTCTCACATGAGCTGGCCCATCCAACCCGAACAGAGTCCAGCCTTGACCCAAAGTTAAAGCAGCTCTCCCATATCCCCTTTTGTTATTCGAGGATATAAATTACATGCACAAATTTAAACTTGAAATATCAATATTACACCTGTAGTAATTAAAACGATATGATAATTGATGATGGGAAGGGAGTGGTGAATTATAGCAGAATTCCTTATATTTATGGATAAATTTTAAATGCTAAAATTACATACATTTATGAATGGAGGTGGTATTAAGCTTGTTTCTAGAAGGTACTTTACATGATTTTACTTTTGAAGGGAAGTTTATTGATACACTTTAGCAATCTTATTAGCTTGTTGCATAGGATTTTAAATAATATGAAGGAGAGAGATGAACATGAGAGGAAGATGCAGTTGTTTTACAAAACAACTTAAAAGACAACCCATTGTACTGGTTGCCTATTAAGTCATCTTCATATTACGTGTTGTATGATGACTCAAATCCTACTTGGATTAGGACGCAAGAGAGGTGAGCTATTAGAACTTCTATTATGAATTGAGTTTCCTACTTGCATGTATGACAATATAAACAAAGGGGTGGTCTTATCCAAAGCTTGTAAGGACCAATTAGGAGCGCTCAAGTGAATTAGGTTCAAGTGGATTAGGAGCGTTCCTAATAGCTCATGTGGGCTAGATTCTTGTGTAGGGCAAGAATCATTGAGTCCTAGGTGCCAAGTAGGGTTGTGAAAGAGTAACAATCACTTGTACTCTTTCGGAGTTGTGCTTATAGAATTTGATGTCGTCTTCGCCAAAATCCTTATCTCTTGTCATGGTTGCTTCAACGTCAGCATTTAGCTAGGGTTTTCTACTTGATTCGTCTACATCGTTCGTAATGCAGTGCATACTTGTGTCATACTCACAATATCCTTTTCATAGATCAAGGACTACTGTGTATAAATAAGGCTATCAGTTTCTATCGTTACGTGATACTCAATGAAACCACTTAATTACCCTAAGGAAGCCAAGAATAAAAAGGCGAGGCTTATACTAATCTAGTAACCTAACGGGCCCTTCGGAACAATAATTTGCCATTTTCATGCTTATTGCATTTAAAGTTAATTCTAGAAGTCTAGTGGGAACCGATAAGAACGAAATAGGATTGTTTTTCTCTTCATCGCACAAAAGCCAGCCTCGTGGTATACTTATTTTTTTCTTAAAAATGTAACGTTTCATATTGATTGGTATCTCAAGAATCTTTGACCTGACAGTTTGCATCCCACTAAAAAAATAATGAAAAGGAAATACTATTTATGGATATTTCCCAGACATTATATCCATAAGTTTTCCCTAAAGAAACATATAATTCATTAATAGCGTATCAGGTCATTTTTATTAAGATAAAAGAGCTAAATCACATGTCATGACTACCCAAAAAAAGAGCATATTCTAAAATTTTGGGACACTCTACTCCAATAATGCAATAAAGTTCAGAAAGGGCTGCGTACTTAACGGGGATATATAAGGTATCATACCTGGTGATCTATTGGTAAATCTTCGCCATTTTTATCCTAGCAACTTTTTCTGCTGCATTAAGAATTTCAATTATATTTGATACATTTGGCCTTTTCTCCTTGTCAGGGTGCACACATTCCAAAGCTATGTCGATGCATCGTTTTACTAGTTGGGCATGTAGTTCCGGTGATGTATACTTCGATGATCTTTCGAATCTGTTCCTCCAATTACTGAGCACCTGCACAATTGCATATATAATAAGTGAGCTAGAGTGATGGTACATATGAAGACGCTCTGTTAGTTCATCTTACTTTCTCTGTGAAGTGCTGGAAATCTGTTTCGGTGCTTTGGCGATAGTCTGGATAGTCATCCCTGCAGCCTTTGAGTATCTCTATGATTATGACACCCAAACTGAATATATCTGCTTTCTTTGAGATTATGCCCCTGTCTATGTATTCTGGTGCCGTGTATCCCCTGCAGTAGACATCAAGAGTTTGAGATGCGGCAAGCATAATCGAGACCATACAAAGAAAGCAAATGGTATTTGTTGTGGGGTGTAGCTTACGTGGTTCCGCGGCAATTTGAAGTGATAGTTTTGGATTTTTGTTCACTTAACTTTGACAAACCAAAATCCGCAATTTTTGGCACCATAGTAGTATCCATTAATATATTTTGAGGTTTAAGGTCCAGATGAATAATATTGCGCCCATGAAGGTATTTCAAACCACTGCATATGCCCTTAATTATCTTGTATCTCATGTTCCACTCAAGACCTGAAGATTCATCTGTAGAAAACTTTTTCTAGACATAATTAATCTTGTCATATCATGCTTAATAATAAGAGCAATGAAACACATTTTGTGTGGTTGAGTGCAGTAATAGTAATATCTAGTTTCTAGCTCGTCCAAAAACAAAGTTATTATGCATAGATAGTCAATTTATGTCTGACCAAATTTATATTTCAGTACTCTGCTGATTGTGGAATGGTAAACTAGAGAAAATGAAAACAAAGGGAGCTGATAATTATGTCCCGTAAGTGTTTCCGAAACGCACCTGAAAGATGCTTATCAAGGCCTCCATTACACATATACTCGAAGCAGAGCATTCTTGTTTGTGCTTCAGCAACGATAGCTTTCCCGTTCGGTTGCTTCATCATCTCCCCCTTTGATTCAGCACAGTACCCTAGAAGCTGTATTACATTTTGGTGTTTGATATCCATAAGAAAAGAGGCCTCGTTCTCGAAGGATGGGTGATCACCCGCCAGAATTATTGCATTAAACTTTTTGACAGCAATAATTGAACCGCACCGGAGAATGCCCTTCATAGAATTGATGTCCGATCCGTTCATTAATTATTGCTTCCAACATTTGAAGATTGATTGGAGCGAAAAGAATCAGTCATACCTTGTAAACCACTCCGTAGCCACCCCTGCCGAGTTCTTGCACAATGCAAAAATCACGTGTGATCAATTTCAGGAAGTATAGGGGCACAGAAATTGGTCCTGCAGTTGGATGCAGCAGTTTGTTCTCCAACTCCAGTATCTCACTTTCAGTAGCTCTGCTGTCCATGCCTATTTACATGGAGCTTGCTTTAGGTGGGAAAATGATATACTTGTGTCAAACATAGATTACTATGGTATTTTAATCATTACTGTTATGAGTTGCTTCGACATGTAAATTACATCATCCGATGTACAGCAGAACGAAGAACTGTAATGCGACTTGCAAATACGAACGGCTAGGATACAGTACGTGAAAAACTAGCTACTTAACAGAGTATATTTGTTAGAGCACGTATCGGAGCAGCTCAACTCATCATACCTGCCAGCCAGCCAGTGGCGGAGCTTGTACACAAAATCATGAGGGGCAAACTACAATGACAATAGTGTCCGCTTTGAAAATTATTCTGTAAATCACATAAGCAAACTACTCTCAAGAGCTAGCACTAGCTTTAAGACGATAAATATAGAGGCGAGGGAAATCGCAACAAGTAGCCTTGAACATATCATGCTTTGAGAGAGATGTATCGTGAAATATGTGAGACTATCTCTTAATAAGTCCATCCATGCTAGTCTTTTACTTTGAGCACTATTCGGTGATTAAAAAATTGATTCAGCAAGCTCTACCTAACCCTTACTATGAAGTTGCACAAACATAGGGGGAGCCATGACCTACCTTGGTCCTAACGAAGCTCCGCCTCTGCAGCCAGCACCCAAGACTATCTCCTTGAGATTTCTTGTCCAGTCCCCTAGACTCCGTTTTTAATGTTTTATTAATATATATGAGCTTCCAATTCAATAAAAATAGAACGTCACAGGCTCACGGCAGTATCTGCGACAGTACCGTCATGAAAAGCCTGCAAGATGAAAAGAATACCGACTTACTAGTCTACTACATCACAAGACAGAACACCCCCCCTTCTCCCTCCCTCGTGAAAGAGAGATTTTTTTTTTCTGGTGTTGTATACCTGGACAAAATTTGAACTGCAGGTAAATAATCGGTTCAAGTAGAATGCCGAGGCAACAAAGGGGTCTGAAGTCTGAACTTTGAAGCTACAGTTTAGATACTCTAGTTTAGTAACAGGGAGATCAGCATAGCCACACAATGCAAAAGCAAAACACATAATCTCCAAACCCACCTCTTGCAAACTGTTGTGCTAGTTGAAATCTTCAGTACCACCGGAGGATATATGTTTGAGTTGTGCTGCTTGCAGGGGAGGAGGAAACCACCATTAGCAAAGCTGATGCCGCTGTCTGTCGCCAGAACAGAAGAAACCATCTACAAGAAAGCTTACCCACCAAGAAGAGGAACGAGCAGGATTCGATTTGATCACCCAAGTTGTTAATTATGAGAAAACAACTGGTGCTGGCTGCGTTAGCGCAAGAAAAAAAGGAACTGATACTACTGTTGTGCAAGTTGTTGAAGATATCCCTGATGACTAACTGGCTTGAAAACTCCAAAGATCTTCAGAGTAGCACCGGATGGGAAGATGTGCGACTCTGAAGCACGTGTGCTAGCTGCTGCTGCGTGCGTTTGCGTTGCGTTGGGGAGAGAGAACCACCATTAGCAAGTGAGTAGTACGACGCAAAACAAATCTGATGCTGCTAGCTGTTGCCAGAGGAAAGTATCAGTACAAGCAGCCAGCTTATCTTACCAACCAAGAAGAGAAACTAAACCAGCAGGATTTGATGGTGCTGCGTGAAAGCAAGAAAAGAACCGCTGCAAACAGGAGAGAGGTCGCCGGCGGCGGAGACGACGGAGGAGAACAAGAACTGGTGGTTCGTTCTAGTGGTGGTGAACCTGGTGGTGAGATGGTCAAGAGGAGCTGACAGCTGAGCAGTGACCAGTGGCGGGAGGGGGGCACATACAGGACGATCACCATGATTTTTTTTAACACTTTTTGTAAACTAATTTTAAATCTAACACTATTGATATTTTTTTTTCAAAACTAACACTTTTGGTCGCGCCTATTGCCATGGCACGGTGAAACGCCTGTGCCGCGCCACCACGCCTGTGCCGCACCACGCATGGTGGCGCGGCGAGAGAGGTGATGTGGCGACGACCTGGCGCTGAAACGGTGACGTGGCAGGGTCTGCCGCGCCACCGATCTTGGCGCGGCAGAGCCAGGTAAATACCGCCGCGCCCGCACGTGCCTGGCCGCCTGCCCGTCGCGCCTTCGCACCTGCCCGCCTCGCCGGCCTCGTCACGCACGCCGGCGCGCCACTCCCGCCGCGCCTGCCTGCCCGCATGCCTGCCGCCGCGCCGGACTCGCCATGCACGCCGATGCGTCACTCCCGCCGCGCCTTCCCGCCGTGCCTGCCGCCGGCCATGGCCGCACGCCACCCGCCGCGTCGGCCTCGCCACGCACGCCGGCGCGCCACTCCCACCGCGCCCGCCGCGCCACGGCCGCCGCGCCCGCACGTCGGCGCACCACCCCCTCCGGCCGCCCGCCGCGCCCCTCCGACCACGCACGGCTGCTGCCCGCTGCGCCAGGGACGCCCGCCGCCCCCGCCACCGCTCTCACTGCCACGCCCGCGCCTCCCGGCCCGATCTAGCATGCAATTGAAATGCAATATTAATATCAATCTGGAAAAAAAAGAGAAAACAAGTGATACTTTCTCGCAACCACTAGGATCAAATATCATAACCTTCATCCGAGACATCCCATCATACTTGAATACCAAGAAGTCAATCTTTTTTAAGTCATGGGCACTAACAAATGACTTCCACCCAGATTAAAGCATTATTCTGCCCATATTCTTTGCAACTTGAACATCAAAAGTATAACCGCCAAGTGATTCAAGAGTAATACTTTCTTCTATTTTGTCTCTGAAATGTTTAGCAATTTTACCCGGTATGACCTGTAGCAGTAAGATTAACGCAGAACAAAGTTCAGATGAGGTAGAATTTATACAGTTCCCTTACCTCATCTAAACATTGTTCTACGTTAATCTTGCTGCCGCAGGTCATACCGCCAAGTGGTACAGCTTACTCTGTTGAGTGCTGAACAATATAATCTATGGTCTATCTATTCCCTGATTAGTTGACTGAGCCGTGTGGGCCGTGTGATATATCTGTCGATTGTGCCGTGTGGGCTGCACACGATCATGAGCTAGGCAACGATAATGCTCTTGTGAGCAGTGAGCGCGGCGCAGGCGCGGTGGGTGGGGGAGTCGAGGCAAAAAGGCGAAGCAAATCAACAAATGCTTGGATTGGCCCGTGTCCGTCCAAAAGGCCACTCTCCTTTCCGGTGCTAGTACTGCGCTGTGCAGGCTGCTTCTGCCTTCTGCTCGCTGGTCTCGACTCGCGAGGTCGGGTCTGGGTGTCTGGCACTGGCTGCGGCAGGGGGAGCTTTGAGCTTTTCCTTGCCCTTGCACCCTTTCGCGGGCAAGGCAGCGTGGCGGGCGAAACAAAGAGCGGACAAGCCACAAGCTTCCAAACAAAAAAATTGAAACGCTTTCGATCAGTCTCATCTGATCCATCAGCCTTCACATTCTAGTTCAAATCTTGATCGCTGACACTGTCTAGTCGATCACAAGTCACAGGTCAATCACGTCGCACACGCAGCATCAAGGAGTGCGGTTGAAAATCCCGACCCTCCTACTATTCATACGTACCGAGTCTGACCGAGGCATAGCCATGGGTGGTGAATCGACCCGACAGCGACTGTTGCGTCGTCAGGGATGGCGCGGCGGCGCGGCGTGGCAGATCATGCCACGTCACCGGTCAGCGTCCCGGTCGTCGCCATGTCATCCCTCCCGCCGCGTCACCATGTATGATGCGGCACAGACGTTTCGCCGCGTCATGTGAATAGACGCGGTCAAAAGTGTTAGATTTAAAAAAAAATTTAAACAGTGCTAAATTTAAAAATAGTTTAAAAAAGTGTTAAAATTAAAAAAAATCATCACCGCGTGGGTCGACAGAGTAGCCTGCCTTTCTGCAGACGGTGACAGAGTCGTCACGGAAATTCTTAGGAAATTATGCTATAGTGAAATACTCCACAAAAGAATACAGCTCAAGTTTTACCAAGTTAATAGAAAATAGTATTAACATTTATGTGTCTAAATAAATTTATTATAAAAATATATTTTATAATATAACGAATCTAATGGTATTTATTTTTTATCATTAATGTTAGTATTTTTTTATATAATTTTAGTCAAAATATAAACTAATTTTTTTATATAATTTTAGTCAAAGTGTAAATTAATTAGGTGGGTTCGGCTGCACTTTTCCCTGGGCTGCAGCGGCAGCTATTTGCTGTTTGCTACTGTGCTTTGTATTGTTTGTGCACTTTGGCAGCAGCTGCAACAGCAGCAGCAGCAGCAGCAACGCTGCAAGTTTGTGCATTATTCTTTGTGGATGGAGGGAGTATGATAAGAACCGTTCATACCAGAAGTTCAACTGTTTCGTTCATTAAAAAATGACAGTCGCTTTTGGCTAGTTAAATTTATCAAGCTTTTTTTTTCCAAAAAAATCACATAGATAAGCCATGCACATCCCCACATCTATGAGCATATCTGAAAAACATAACTTATAGATCTCAATATTTGTGAAGTCACCAGAGATGCTCGGCCACCGAAAATATAGCACTGTTTAAATCTTAACGTTTGACTAATTAAAATAATAGTATACTAACATCTACATGATCATCTAGTTTTGTTGACTCTACCATAAAATGTTTTGGTGGTGGGTTCGTTCATTTTCGTAGATGTTAATATATGCTTTTATAATCTTGATTAAAATTTGAGAAATTGACTTCGATATTGTGTGAATAATAATAATATTTTGGGAGACAAGAAAGGTGCCAAGCGTACGCGTTAGAATTATTGCGCACATAGCGTGCTATTGTCAGATCACCATGTGGCATCGACCAACCATTTCAACCAAACCATAAAGCAAAATCTGATCACAAGTCCTATCACAACCACCATACAAAAAACGGAATCAATCAGATTAATTGACAATACAATTCTATTACCCATGCCAATAAGAAAGTAGTAGAAATGAACATAGGATAGTATACTAAAACGAAAACTATACTCCAAATTTTTTAACAATGCCAAAAA